CCACGAGGACATCAATTGTTCACTAGATTTGGTATTCTCAGGCTGTGCCCAAGATCGAGTGTCTGGATCGGTTGCAGCTATTAGACAGGGTAGACTGTGCTGTTTACCACGATGTTCCAGCAATTTTGGAACATCTGTAGTGTCTCGGGCTTTCCGGTACTGTATTGACTGAACAGGAAAGTTTTGCAGAGGATCTTTAGTGGGATCTGGGATTACCCCCACAATTCATTTTCCTTGATGATCTCTAAATCTAAGTACTTACCATAACAAGTATAGAGTTATATCTTATTCACCTCTTGTAGAATATTGCATATTCTATGTTTCTATTGATTATATATATGGATGTGTGGATTGACATAAGTAACAGATGGTATCAATAAGTCACAAGGCTTTCTTTGTCCGAGAGCTCTGGAATGTGGATTCGGGGGTCTTTTCCTTATATGGCTAGAGTTAAATGCTGACGTTAGTATTAGCACATCTTTATAGTAACAGAGGTACACAAGGTCACTCTGTCTTGGCTTCGCTCTGGGCTCTGTACAACGATGTAACTCTCCCATCAGAAGTCCAGCAATTACCATCTGCTGTTGAATGTCCATTATCCTGTAACATCATTTATTATGTTTTATTATGTATCCGTAACAAAGAATAAACCTGAAGAAACCGTAAGTCAGATTGCGACCTCAAGTGACCTCAAGTACCACTGTTACTATAAAGATGTGCTAATACTAACGTCGGCATTTAACTCTAGCCATATAAGGAAAAGACCCCCGAATCCACATTCCAGAGCTCTCGGACAAAGAAAGCCTTGTGACTTATTGATACCATCTGTTACTTATGTCAATCCACACATCCATATATATAATCAATAGAAATATAGAATATGCAACATTCTACATTCCCTCTGTTTATGGTTTGTTTTAAAACCATAACACAATGTCACTAACCTGTCCATTCATACATCACTCATATCACATTCATTGAGAATAGAACAAGATGTAGTCACAACTTTCAATTATATGAGAGTTCTTAGAAGGTCGAGTTTCTATCCCTCATACTGCTTACTTTACTTCAAAATCCCTCTGTTTCAGCTATGTATTGATATCCATATCCATGTTACATCATAACTACTTGAACATAATATAAATATATATAACAATAATGAATGAATAAAATAAAATATTTACAAATGTTGATCCAATAAACAATAAAGCAATCAGAAATATCTACCTGCTCTGGTACAGTCGTATCTTTGTAGATAACAAAATCCAAGATTGTAACTTTCTAAATAATAACTGTGTATCACTATCATACTCCTACAGACACATATAGCATAGTATTTTCATTCTCAATACCTGATATTACTTAAGTACTAATACATGTATTACTATAATATCCTGTCCAATTAGATTTCCATGAATCATATGGTTTATAGAAACCTTAAAATCTTTAGGTCATTTGTATTCATGAATTACATTCCTATACCATTAATACCACCTAGTGATAATTGTATCAGTACTTTACAATCATAGTATTCAATTTGTATATTCAGTAGGCTCTCACTACCTAAAATATACCAACACTACTTATAAGTCTAATTCAAAGGATGTGTTATCAACCATGAAATTCTACAATAATTCTTCAAATAATGTTCATGGTGTTGACAATACTTATTGTCCTAGAAATTCTTCACCCAGAAATCTTTCTATCATAGATTTTGTTCACGTAATTATAATTTTGACTAAAATTCCACCTTGTAGTAACAAACTTTACATTCAATCGGAGAAATAATTTAAATTCATTATCATCACTCTCTTCATTAGCATTGTGATGACTTATTAATGTAATACATCTTAAAAGCAGGATTGTCCTAATATTTTGACCAATCCGTATTCCTTAGTACACTTCAACTGACTAAAATAAAATACACAAAATAAACTTGGGGTCATACTGCCCAGAAACTCTTATTCCTAGTCTGTGTCTTACAAACTCAGGGGAATCATAAAACAACTTAACAACGTATTCATTGGATACCATCATATCCAGAAACCTATTCTCCCTAGTTCATGCCTTTATAGACTTAGGTTAAATATAATCGTGTACTATACTCTTTCCATTCAATTCAATTCCTCTTGGATCTCTGAACTCTTATATCCAAGGAATTCTTAATGTATACTATTACTTAATATTAATCAATATAAATTATCCTTCCTTAGTTTTCTTCCTTATGTTACCATAGTTTGTTTTACTTCACCTCGATTATAAACAAAATATTTATTCTGGTGAATCTATGAAATACTATTGCACTCAATCTTTGTAGTATTACGTAACCATGATCCTTATTTTATCAACTTCATATTTTATCTACCTCTGATACTTCTCATCCTATGTATAGGTAATAATATAATAGTTCTCTTCATAATACTATCCTTTCATAATTTTACTCCATGTGTTACACATTTATAAGTAGTCTCTTTTGGTATTAATACTCATAACTGTTAAATAACTTTTCATTGTCTGTTTTCTTCTTCATTAATATTTAGGAATATATATGTATGTTAGTGTCAATCTTTTATTTCTTTGTAAGTCTGTTAATCTTCTGTATCGAATGAACTCTGTAGAATCTTTCATCACAGTTTGCAGATCAGATGAAAAGTCTCTTTCCAACAGTCGATGTCCAGTTGTCTAAAGGAATGCTTTCCTGATTTATTGCCACAAGGATCTGTCATGCTTTACCTACATTAAAACAAATAACATGTGCAGCATCAATACAATGGCTTACAATGTTTATATCTCATTATTATTATACAGTTTAACATTGAATTATATTGACTACACAAAACATACTCATTTCTTCTCATGAGATCTACCATCTTGTGGTCATTACATTTATGTCATTTTATGTATAATCTTTACATTTCCTTTATATTAAAATCTTTCTGGACATTTTAATTTATCAATCATACCGTATTAATCATACCCCCCTTTAAACTGTTTAATAATCTGGAGGTATAACCTAATCACATATAAGATGTTACAACAAAATATTGTTTTCCACTATACTTTATAGCAATAGCAGCCATTTTGTTTTAACACTGGCACCATTTTGTCACATGAAACAAACTACAAAAACATATATTGTTTCCTACATCAAATGTATTTGTAAATCTAGGTTTTATTCTATCAAAACTTTTGTCTTCTATGTAGTCAAAACATATGTATGTCCAGGCTTTGCAAAATATAGTAATCCATTATCAGTCATGACATTAAAATCTCATTCTCATGAATTAAATCAAAGATTTTAAATCAACCTCAGAAGCAACAACATTGTTTTTTCCTTCTGTAAAATGATTGGAGTTACTGTGTAATTGCATACACCCAATATAACATTGCATGTTCCTAACTGCTACATTAGTGTATTTCATTCTGCCATATTTGCAAACTTGATGTAAATTTATATTTTAATTAATTAACCTAATACTTTCTTATACCACACATAAAAACAATGAAAAAAACAGTTCAGACTAACAATTCATTAAAACAACAAACTAACATAGATCTCTATTCTTGTGTGCGGTTCTTAATTTTGGAATCAGCCTGTGTACATCTGTTGGCACACATATCCATGCTCATTCCCTAAACTGATCATATCTCGTGAATTTATCTGATTCTTATAACTTTCTGTGTTACACTGCATTGCTGGTCTGTCTCCTAATTTCAATTTTGCTAAAATTGTTCTTATTTGTCTGATTATAAGTTTATAAGGAAAGGCTTTAATTGATTTATCTCCACATGTATTTTCTTTGTCAACATTTTCAATCAACAAATGTAATTTCTCATTTGCTTTTGATTTGATATCTCGGATAAAAGATCTTAAATAATGTTTATTGCACCAAAAACAAATAACTTTAGGAGTTATATTCTGCCTTTTATTATGAACTCTACAGTTTTTAGTTGAATAAATTGGGAGGGGCTCAGCTGTCTGTTTCACTCTTTTACACTCTGTCCTAGAAGAAGAAGGAGGAGGGGGACGAGGGGTGTAAAATCTGCACTTCTTTCTCTGCCTAAATCCACAAGTCGTTTTAACCCCTTCATTATTGGTTACCCTCCTTAAGTTATCCAAGAATAAAGCAACGTCATTATGTGAGGATACATTTTCAGTATCTGTTGGTTCTGGGATTAGGTTCTGTGCCTGTATTTTTCTTGTATTAACACACTCTAGTTTAACTTAATTTCTAAGCTGGCAAATAAGATCATTTCTTAGTTCAACTCTATCCTCTAATTCACAGATTGTTTCTGACAATGTGCTCTCTGTTACATTGTTACACTGTTCATTTAAATCTGATTTGTCTTCTGTTAACCCATTCAAATCTACTTCTTTTTCTGCTGATTCTAAATTGTCTTGACCTGCATTTCGTTTACAAATCAATGCATTGTAAGTACAGACTAGTTTCATAACATTTCTGATCTTTTGTTTTTTTCTTATTAACAAACAATTTCTTGTCAATTTCACTATTGGCAATTTCACATTGTGTGTATAAAGATTGCCACAAAACAGCATCTGAATAGCTGCTATTAAATGCAAACTGCAATTTACTTTTCTCTGCAATATCGTTTATGAATTCCCTGTTACTCACCAGATCAGTTATTTCTGTCTATTTCGTTGCTTCATCCACACAGCTGCGCAGTTCTGGGCTGGATGATTGCCAATCTCTGCCACGTGCTTGCTTCTAGAATTCACGTTGTATCTTGTGCTTTTTGTCTCAGTTGTAGAAAATAATCTTGTACAGTCTTTGTGATTTGAAAACTTTCTTTTTCTTACAAACACAGTTCTTTTGTGACAGTCAAGATTCTTTTTTTTCTCTTCAAGTTTGTTTTCCCAGTTCCAAAATAGCTTTGTAACTCGATTCTTCTCTCTCCCCCCTTGAAGTGGGAACAAAACTTGAATAGAAGACTGGCAGGCTAGCCAATGTAAAATGTACTTTGGAACGGTGTTAATGTCGAATCTTCTTAATTTCTTCTTGTCTTCAGTTGATTGATAGATATATATATATATATATATATATATATATATATATATATATAAATCAATATATATCAATCAACTGAAGACAAGAAGAAATTAAGAAGATTCGACATTAACACCGTTCCAAAGTACATTTTACACCTCTCATCTCTTCATAAGGAGTGTTCCACTTTGAACAAATGCCAGTAATAAGATAACAAGTCCTTAACGAGATAATTAAAACTTGAGCTGCTGCCCAATGCTGTTTTATTTACAAGAAAGCAATGGTGCAGAAATGGGGTACAATTATATATATACTACCTTTTAAGATCCAGCTAGTGCAAATCTGTATTAAAGATTTAAAATTTATTATATACAACAATTAGCCACTCACAATTTTGAGACAAAAATAGTGCCTTCAGAATATTGATTTGCTGAATATCTTCTCAGATCTGTTATTTTCAATCTCAATAGCTATATGAGAAAAGAGACAACGTGCAACCACATAAGATAAAAGCAAAAAAGTGCACAGTGCAAATTTATTCACTTACACAGAAGCAAATATCAATAGACATAGCATGTCACCATGAGTTCACAAGTCGTACACATTTGATCTCAGTTAGGGACTTCCAAGCCTTTTGTAAAAAATATGGTTTTACCAGTATCTAGGGTTTCTTGATTTGCTTGAGATATTATCTGGTCTTTCCATCATTGTACACTTAATACACACATCATTCTTCCAATTACATTTTAAAATAATTAAAATATAATTAGAGTTGAGCGGACACCTGGATGTTCGGGTCCGGCGGGTTCGGCCGAACTTTGAAAAAAAGTCCGGGTTTGGGCTCGAACTTGACCCCGAACCCGAACCCCATTGAACTTTTGGCCACAAAAATGGCTCTAAAAAACTCCTGGAAAGGGCTAGAGGGCTGCAAAAGGAAGTAAAATGGGGGTAAGAGCAGGACAAGTGCCCTGCAAACAAATGTGGATAGGGAAATCACTTAAAAATAACATAAAATAAGCAGCCGCATAGTAGATAACTCCCTAATTCACACGGTATTAGGGAGCTATCTACCAAAAGGCAGAAAGACCTAAATTAGTTACCTAAATTGGTCTTTCAGCCACATTTACTAATACTAAGTAAATATTAATTAGTATTAGTAAATTCAGCCCCTACTCGCTATACTGCGAGTAGGGGCATGTCTAGTAAACAGTGAGTAGCCATTTGCTGCTCACTGTAAAAAAAAACAAAAAAAAAACCTATTGCCCTCACCCCTGCGTGACGGGTGGGGGCCCTAAATAAGAATGTGGAGGGGGGGGATCTACTGTCCTCCCCCCCCGGCCCCCACCCTTGCATAGTGGGTGGGGGCCATAAATAAAAATTGTGGGGGGGGGGACTTAATGTCCTTCCCCCTGGTCCCCAACCCTGTGTGGTGGGTGGGGGCCCTAAATAACAATAAGGGGGGGAACCTAATGTCCTCCCACCAGGCCCCCACCACTGAGCGGCGGGTGGGGACCCTAAATAACAATAAGGGGGGTGACCTACTGCCCTGAGCGGTGGGTGGGGGCCATAAATAAAACCCCCCCTCCCAAAAAAACTAACCCCTACCTTCCCCCCTCACCCTAATGAGGGGGGGAGCATTAACTAAGTACCTGTTAAAAACAGATAAAATAAAACTTACCATTTGATGTTTTCTTTCTTCTAAAATCTTCTTTTTTCAGCCACCAAAAAGGGCAAATCAAAATCCATAATAACCGACGCACTTAAAAAACAAAACAAAAAACGAGTGCAAAAAAAAAAATCCATCTTCACCCATGGAGGGCTCTGCGCAGACTGAGCTCTGTAGTGCGGGGGAAGGCTTATAAAGCCATGCCCCGCCCTACAATTAGGCTCAGAGCACTCTGGTTGGTGGGTTTAAGCCATCCAATCAGAGTGCTCTGACAGGTAAATGAAGAGACTGACAGGTAATCCACCAATCAGAGTGCTCTGTGTCATTTTACACAGCGTGGGAAAGTTCTTTGGTATAGCGAGTAGGGACACTTGCTGCACTAGCCAATCACAGCCATGCCATTAGTAGGCATGGCTGTGATGGCTTCTAAGGGCACATGAGTCAAACGCTTGTTGATTGGCTGCCCTGCGGCCTTTCAAAACGCGTCATTTAATCGCCGAACTCCGAACTCCAACCCAAACATACAGTGATATGTCCGTGTTCAGGTCTGGGGTCCAAAAAACCTAATGTTGGGTGCGAGCTCGAACTTTTCAGTTCGGGTTCGCTCAACTCTAAATATAATGCAAATTCCTTACAGGTGTGTGTTGGTGAAAATAATGTGGGTCTCCACTTCTCTCTTTTTGTAAAATCTTTCTATGACAAAAATGACTAAGAATCTTTACTCACTGAATTTCTACCTAAGCAATTCTCGGAGACACTGGAAATTATCTTTAGCGAGAACTCAGCAAAATGCAATTTTATTTTTATTGTTAAAGACTTGAGAACAGGCAAAATATTTTTTAATGGAAAGAGTCAAATATTTCCATATTTGTTTGTTATTTAGTGGTAATCCAACTTAGTGTCAAACATCTATTCTCCTTTAGTCAAAAAGACATAAATCTAATTATTAGGAACCATACAGTTACATATTTCAGAGATTTGAGAAATAGAGATTCGTAGATGGTTACTATCCAGGTAGAAAAACCCAGCCTGGGAATCTGTATGAAATACATTTGTTCTTAGTAATAACTACATCAGGTAAGTAACGATAACACCCATAACCTTGTAGAGCTACTGTGTCCTTTTTATAAGAACAAACATTAAAATAAATGTGAAAATGTCCCCTGAAGCTTCTTGGAATTTCAAAAAATTGCTTATTTTGTTCAAATCAATGCTTGCAGATAAATAAAGAAAATGAAACCACAACAATTTCTCCTTCTGAATAGCTTAAAGGGACAGTATGACCTTAAAATAATACAATAAAACTCATATGCTTCAAATAGATTGTTCTCTTAAAAAACATATTTAAAATGAAGATCATTGGAAAATAACTCCCAAAGATTGTAATATAACATGTTGTCTTCTCATATGCAGGCTGTGGAAAAATGTATTAATCAGACTAATTTGTTTAAAATAAAGGATTTGATGATAACTTGCAGTTATGATTGAGAGGTAATTTGATAAACAATCCACTTCACTACAAAGTTATATTTATGTTAAAAAAATTTAATCTGATTTTAATTTGAACGAAAATAAATAAATATCAATTATACAAATACAGAGAAAGTAGAAAATTGTGTTTTAAACCTGTGGTGAACAGTTTAAAAATTAAGAGTAGATTGGCCTAGAGATTGATGCTCTGGGAAATATAAAATAAATTTATACAATTACATTTTCAAAATAGGGCTTTGTAGCCTGCATAAAAACCGCATAGTGTAAACAGCCCTACATTTCAGCTAATTAGTTTTGAGCCATATTGGTTCCAGTACAGTGGGGCAGAATTTTCAATTCATTTACCCCAAACAAGAAGACTGACCACAGTCCCACTGAAAAACGTAATTTCCCTTATAGGCAAAGACCAGTGCAGAAACAGAGCGAAAGCAAAGTGGGACTTAATGGGCTAAATTTAGTCTAGGCAATAAAATAAACTACCTAACACATTGTAATGGTGTACAGTGTACAGATATAAATCAGCACAGTCAGGCTCAGATACTTGCATGGAACAAGAACTCTTTTAATGATGTCTTAATTCACAAGGGAAACAACCTATTAAACCTAAAGAACATAAATGCTTTGCTATTAGGTATTTTCCTTTTAGTTTCTACCAGTCTTGTATTCCCTTCTTGTCAAATGATCTTAATGGTTGCATGTGTAACACCTTACTCATAAATGTGCATAGTTCAATGCAAATCTCCAATGACCTAAAAATGGTTTTCTTTGTTTTAAATTAATTTTATTGATATAATGTTTAATTCTGTGTGTGTTTTCTGTAACCTCCTTTGTTTTCATTATTACCATTTTTGTGTATTTTTCAACTTTACATATCTTTTTGCATCAATGATGTTTAATAAATACAATGTATTTTTATTTATTGGTATGTATTACTGCCCCATATTCGGGACACCCTGATGTGCAGCTTCGCCATGTTTTTAATGTCATGTTTGGTAAATAGCTGTGCCCCTCATTTTAATCAAACCTTATGGGTTTGGCGTGGTTCACATTGAATAGCTTTGTTACTAGGAATGGTTCTTAAAGGGACATACATCACATAACATTTTTTTTAATTCAGGAGGCAAAAACACTTTTAAATATATATATATATATATATATATAAAAAATCAAAATAAAGTAATAAAATAATAAATATTTATAAATTTACTATAAACATTGTTAGATTGCATTATAGGGCACGCCTCTCAAGTAGGGGAATTTCAGCCTCCCCCTATTATCCACCCATCTAAGTTTCAGATCAGTCCATTAATAGCAGAAACTTGTTGACATTGTATGGGAGCAGGAGAGAGACAAACAACACCATAGTCTTCTGTGCATGTATCACACTGATCAGATATAGGGATCAATTTAATATCCTGGTACTTGCTTTCAAATCTCTGCACAATTCTGCTTCGACCTACTTATCCTCACTAATACACAAATATGTCCCATCTAACCTGTTTGTACTCCTACCTCTGATGCTCACCTTAAAGACTTCTCTAGTGCTGCACCATTCCTATGGAACGCCCTTACCCTCTCTGTTAGATTTTTACCCAGTCTACACTCCTTCAAAAAAATCTTTGAAAACTTACTTCTTCGGGAAAGCATATCAATTAAACTGTCAACAGCTTTTTCTCCCTGTGTGCTGATTCCTCTCCTGTCACTGTTTGCATATTTTGCTTTACAATATTTTAAGTATATTTCTACTATATTGTTTTTAATCTTTGGGTTTGAATAAATTGTTATTTTATCACTAGCTTATTAGCCATCATATTGGATTTGACTTCATCATAATTATTGTAAGTGCAGCAAATATTCCATACAGATCTGCACTATTATTGCTATTTCTCAATTTTCTTTTACATGTACTATACGACCCTGACTTTGTGATTGCCATCTATTGGGAGTATAAGTATTATTGCTATTTG